TTCACTAGAAGCGTATGTACTTTTGGCTATGTATCGTGGTGGTTGCCTACGTGACTTACGCACTTAGCCACCTGGTTTGGACTGAAAAATCTAGGTTATCGCTCGAAGGAAACAGAATATGGAGAAGGAAGGTCTACTAGAGAATAATGTCGGAAATGGCCGTAGGGAGAAGCTGGCATTCTTGGATCTTTTGTTGAAAGCGCAACATGAAAATCAACTTAGTGATGAGGATATCAGAGAAGAAGTTGATACTTTTATGTTCGAAGGTGAGTGTACATTACTGTATACACATTTTGACAGATTATAAATCGCAGGCCATGACACAACATCTAGTGGTATCGGATTCACAGTTTGGTGGCTTGGATTATCGGAAGATTGTCAGAGAAAAGTCCATAAGGAGCTCGACAGCATATTTGGTGGATACTACATACATAAATTGCAGTAATTAATCGAAATATTTCCTAGGCGATTCTGACAGATCTCCAACGTTTGAGGACATTAAACAAATGGTGTATCTTGAGAAGTGCATAAAGGAATCGCTACGACTTACTCCTTCCGTACCTCTAATTGCGCGAAAGCTTGTTGAGGATGTTGTTGTTGGTATGTCTACCTTTGATGTGTCCGTGCTGAGTGTTGATTGGTTTCATATAATCCTCCCACGTCCAACTCAACTCAAAAAAAAGTATGAAGGAAGTACACATGGCTTTTTGAAATAAATGCAATTGATAAAAGAAGTTAAGAATTGCTAGAAGAAAATCAGGAAGTACGTTCAAAAGTAGGAAATCAAATTCAGTAACAAAAAGTGCTTTGGAGAACCTCGTGAAATCTCATTCAACATTGTATATGGCATAAATAGGTTTCTTCTAGTCATAAGTATTACGACCGATAATGGACCTGTAGAACATAAGATTATATAGCGGTAAAAAATTGATTCATAATTATATCTTGAGATTCTCTTTTTTTTGTAATATATATAATATAAAATAATATCTGCATAAAACTTCTCCATTTGTGACATGGAAACGTATGTGTCAGGGAGTTAAGTGCTAAAAGGAGATAAGAAAATTAGACAGTCTTAACTCAATAAAAAAAGTTAGCAGTAAAATTCTTATATATTAGGTGAGACGACGCTTCCTGAAGGGCTTACCGTTGTTGTTGTGCCAGTAACTACAGCAAGAGACTCGCGATATTGGGAGAAACCGGATGAGTTCTATCCAGAACATTTTGATGCTGACAAATTAGCAGGAAGGGATCCATTTTCTTACGTACCATTTTCGGCCGGACCTCGAAATTGCATAGGTACTTTGAAGTTTCGTTTGTTTTCAACAGTAGAGTTTCTTTGATGTTTAGGCCAGAAGTTTGCGATACTTGAGGAGAAGGCCGTTCTTTCATGGATGTTTCGTCGCTATAACGTGGTTTCTCTGGATCCATTCCCAGAAAATCGACCTATTCCTGAACTAATTCTGAGACCAAGCAAAGGAATTCGTGTTAGGCTAACAAAGCGCAGAGCCCAGAATTATTGATAATGAACTGCAACCTCAATAAACAATGCACATTCACTTTTTACTTTCGTGTACTGCAGATTACTAAGCGGAACATGCTACTGCTGGTTTAGACCACGTTCAGAGTTATTCTGGAAATTGTTCCCATCATCGCACGTTGCACACAGCAACATCATGAGAATATCAACACTGCACAAACAACCTGGGAACATAACATTGGCTTATTCTGGGTTTATAACCGGTTCACCATTGCTTGTGCCAAAATGGGTACTCTGTCAAAGCAACAAGAAATCGGAACTGTGAGTGTTGAGTTGCTTGAGGATTATACGTATTGTAAAGTTCATAGCGGAATATGAGCAAGTTGCTAATTTTTTGTTGAATAATTTTGAGAAAATCTCGTATTAGGAGCGAAGACTTTGTGTTCTGATGGAAAGAGAGAGGATACACCACTGAATGGCTTTTTTACAGAAAATGCGTTTTTTGACATGCGTGAAGTTGCACTTTTTTCCTAGTAAAGTAACTTTAGCTAAGCTTTATTCCGGAGGGAATTTAGACAAATTCTTTTCTTTTGGAGAAATGACTAAGATTCGTCCTAGAGAACTCGCACGCTCTTCCCATCTGAATGTATTCTGCAATACAACTTTAGCATATTCTGGAGAGAATTTACTGCACGCCCCTTGGCCCTTTTGTGAGGTGTTCATATAATGTTATAAATGGAATTTGGAAAGCGAGCAGATCATCGGGACAGCAAGGTAGTATTCGTATCATCGTCATACACACTTTCACCCCCATTTCTTGATAGAAACAAACGATTTTGAGAAAGGAGTGAAATGATGGCTGCGCACACTTCTTTTCCCCATTTGTAAAACCCTCTATTTATTTTGTTCCCCTAGTTCCTTAATGAGTAGAGTGACTGTGTTCAAAGGTCTAGTATCCTTCTAGATGTAACTTGTCTGCTTTTAATGTATGTCTATCTATTTATGAATCCTTCATAGGCAAAGTCCAAAGTCGAATTCCATATTCTTCACTCGACTAAGTATTTAACCCTTCTCTATTTATGTCTATATGTGGAGTATTTTAGACTTGTCTTCTTTTTTCTTGGTGTAATCATGGATTCTGCCTTTCTATTCTTCAGCTGTATCCTCCGTTCCAATTACCCTTGTCACATTCGCATGCCTGCAACGTAACTTCCTCTTACACTTTATGAGACTGTATGGCTTTGCCTTTCCACCCCAAACTAACTCCCACAGCCATTGGTTCAAGTCTTGTTTTTAAAACTTTATTTTGGTGAAAGATGCGGCTTTAAGTCCTCTTTTTGATAAAATTTTTGCCTTTGGGCTGGACCGTCAGGTATCCCAACGGGCGCAACAAGCCTGCGAAAAACATCTCTTTCATATTCGCAAAACTTTCAGTTCGATGAGTAGTTCCATAAATTAGCAGTAGATGCTAAGATTCTCGTGAAAGCGAACAGGAGACCGATGATTGCGAACATTGTGCGAGTAACAGTAGCTTTTTGAAGTCGACGCTCAAAGACATCCCAATCGTCCACTTACCCAGGACCTTTGCGGCGACATCATGAGCTGAAAGATTTTCTGAGAATAGGAAAAGTAGGCATCATCTGAATGTAGCAGAGGTGAATTGCACGATGTTGGAGATGAGCAAGGTTCACAACGGCAAGCCGAGCTTTCGTTTACTACCTATGCACCACAAACCGGACGAGAATGAATTTAAGGGTGCTTCAGCCACAACTTAAACGTTATATCATACCTACATCAGACGATGAGAACAGATCACTGTTTCTGTTAGCACGGATCTTACGGCTATGTGGAAAATGAAATGAAATATTGGAGAAAGATGCAACGGAAGTATGATTACGGAACATACAATGAAAAGGCAGAGCCTTTGAATTTACAACAGCTTATGCCTTAGCATCACCGAACACATATTACATTAAGCACAATGGCCTGACATCTATAACTAGACCGTAAATAAATTGTTTACCGTTTAGTGACCACAAGTCATAGAAAAAACTACAAATTTATCGCAGATTAAGGCTACACACCTCATAAGCTTTCACCCAGACCTATAAATTCCATTTGATAGACGAAGGGGACCATCAAAGCGCTCATATGTGCTTTAAA